CGATATGACAATGGTTGAAAAAGTAACCATTTTTGAGTGTGCATTTTCAAATACTATGTTTGTTTCAATTTAACTCTACAATTTCACTTAATCTTTACTTTTATACTCCTACAATATAAGTGAATTAAAGGAGACATTTTTGAGTGAACTTTAACCTCTGAATTGACACATCAATAAATTATGAAGTTTTTTTTAGAAATGTTACTGAAATGAAACTGATTTACAATAATATTACTAACAGTTACTGTAGTATAGTCTCATTGTCACTTAATAGTAAAAACTGAACATAAGCTACGTAATATGATTAAATTAGTGTATTAGAGTCACTACACTTGGGAGGTCACACTTTTGTAAATATTTTTTTAGTCATATGTATGTAATCATTTCATAAACTATTATGCAATATGAATTCTCAATTAAGACTAGATTTATTATTTATAAATCAATAAGTTATTGTATATAATGAATTCTCAATTAAAACAAAATTTATTACATATAAATAGTTGCATGATATTTTATTAAAATTTAAGTGTATTAACTACCCAAGAGATGGTAAAAACAAATATAGAAAGTTCATTTGTACCTATGCACTCCGTATTAATTTTTTTTATCTTTCTTACCATTACCATATATATGTGCTCCTAACACAATTCTATACTTCGTATCATATACTCAATTTTTATAATTTTGCATACATATCACAAATAGTTTTATGGACAAATTCTGTTTCATTTATCATACATATTTTTATAGAAAATATGGAGATTTGTGGTTATGTAACAGAGTATGCATGCAATTTATAGAAAATCATGGACGGTGGAGGAGTTGTTATCAGCCAGTTTTGGTCAGTGGCTCGATATATTAGGGATAATGCTGTGACTGTTGTGGTTCTTAATTATGGAGCTTTATTTAGGTGAAGTTTGACTGGATTGTGACATTTGTTATGTTGAAATTTTAGGATTGTCTTTCACTTTCTTGGTTGCAACTGATCTATTTGGAATATTCAACTGGGAGCATTTGTTAGAAAAAGTCTATGGCCCCCACAAGAATATTCTGCAATTCGAGAGCAGTCTATGGCGTGCACCAGAATATTCAAAGCCCTTCCTTTTGAGAGCAGGTTTTCATGGTAGATTCTGGGCTGATTTCAGGTTTATTTTGGGCGGTTTAGCAAGCAAGGTTAGGCTGATTTCCTACACTCTTTTTAATTAAACTTCAGTAGGGCTGTCTAACGTTTAGGTTGTTGTTGTTGTTGCTCCTGATTTATTGCATTTTCATGCTGCAACTGAAGTTGAGGGCATGTTTTTTGGCAGCTCTTATGTTGGGAAGACTTAATGGCGCTACTGAAGTCACCGAGATCAATTTATTTTGATTGGAGATGATTACTGAAGCAAGTTTGTGAGTAGAAGTGAATAAAGAACATGTACTAACAGAGAAGAGCATCTTCATGAATTGATTGAATATTTTTTTAAACACCTCACTCAGCAGAATTTGGCTCTCAGGCGCCCCTAAATCTGTTCTATCAAGAGGAATGTTGCACAAGAAAACAATGAAACTAACGGAAGCTATCAGAGTTCTGTCATTAAAATCTTAAGAGGTTAAGATTGATGTGACTAATTAGACATTGATAATTTTCTGGTGTTGACTATTACTATTTGACTTCCGATCCCTTGATTTTTATGCTTGGGATTTATGCTCTTTGTTTAAAATTCTATATTGTTTTTGCTCTTTATTTTAATTTTAATTATGCGAGACTACTTATTATCTTACTTATTTTTAAGTTTGCTATTATAATAATCTTATTTTAAATTTTATTTAATGTCTTCAGCTAATTAGATCATTATCAACATTTTTTTAACTTTCGTATGATTGCATCTAAAGTACCTCCTCTGTCCCGAAAAAGTTCGTCAAGTTGACTTTTCTACTAATGATATTGTTAAATATGAAATTATTCAGAATATGAAAGTTATATCAAAATGTTCTTTATTTAAAATATTTTCATAAAAGTATAAAGCTTAAAAGTTATATGCAAATATAATACTTCGTAATAAAAATCATTGTCCAAAGTTTGTCATAGTTGATCAAGAAAAGTCAATATGACAAACCTTTTCAGAAAGAGGTAGTATTACGTAGGTACTTCACTCCCGTGCAACGCACGGGTGGAGTAACTAGTTTTGCATACATATCACAAATAGTTTTATGGACAAATTCTGTTTCATTTATCATACATATTTTTATAGAAAATATGGAGATTTGTGGTTATGTAACAGAGTATGCATGCAATTTTATGAGACAAATGGCTGTTTGGAAGGTATGTAGCCAATATGCGAGAGGTAGCTAGAGGCAACATGAAGCAGAGAGAGACCCATTTCAACAATATGACGATGGCTCTCTCAGCTGTGCCATTATGTTCAGGTGTATGAGGTGGAGTAGTAAGATGAGAAACGCCATTTAAATTAAGCGTTGGAAGAAGTTTAATAAATTCACCACCATTATCTCAAAAAGAGAAGTAATGGAGTGATGAAAATATTTTTCAACCAAACGCTTAAATTGGGGAAAAATAATTGCAACCACAGACTTTTTCTTTATGGAATAAAGCCATATATACATGGTGAAATGGTCCACAAAAATAACGTAATAGAAATAGCCATTCGCAAACATATGTTTAGTACTCTAGACATTAGTGTTAAAAAGCTCAAGAGGACGAGAACTAACCAAACTATTTTGAGCAAAAGGCAACTTATGACTTTTATTAATATGACATGAAGTACAAAAAATGTTTTAAATTGTACATCAGATAAAAACATACGACATTTGGTAGCCATAAGATACAAGATTTTATTTCATGGCTGGCCAAATAAGTGATGCAACAGATGAACATCTGACGTGGTGGTGACATGAGTTTGAGGAGAAGCGGGGGCTTGGGCATGGTAAACACGGTCAATATTTTTCCCTTGGAGGAGCGGAATCCCTGCTTGACGATCCTTAACAAGGAAGAAGGAGGAAAAGAATTTAACAGAAACATTATTAGTACAACATAACTGGGAGATGCAAACAAGATTTTTATTTAACCGAGGAACACAAAGAACTTGGTTGAGAGTGAGGGGTTGAGTGGGAGTAGGCAGTGAAGTGTTACCAATGTGAGATATGGAAAGGGAATTACCGTTACCCAAGTGAATTTCATCGGGGCCATCGTAGCAGAAAAGTCCTGGAGTGTACCTGGGCCAGAAGTAGCATGATGGGAGGCACCACTATCAAACAACCACAGAGACGGAGCGGATGGAGGACTTACCAAGTTAATATGAGAAGTAGTATGATGAATAGTTGGAGATGCACAACTGGAAGAGTAATTATTCTCAGGCAGAAATCGGGCCAATTTCCTGCAGTCGCGAAAACATGACCCGGAATGTTACAAAAGCGGCAAACTGGGCCACCTGAGTGATTGAAGGAAGGTGGAGAAGACGGACTGCCAGAGCCACGATTGTAGGAGCGACCTCAACCACGGGAGTATCCCGGGGTCATACTGCCAATAGAGTGAAGAGAATGACACCGGGTATTATGAGCAGTAGGCAGTAGAGTCTGTGTGTTCTCAACAGTTTCTTTAAGCATGCGCTCATGGTCAGTAAGAATACGTTCAAGCTCGAGCATGGTGATGGGGTGTTCCCAACACGTAATGCTAAAATAATGGATTGATAATCCTCACCAAGTTGGTTCGTGATTGACATTAAGAGATCCGTGACGATATTTTGCATATCCTTCAGATAATCGGAGATAGAGCCGGTTCCATGAGAATTGCTCGAGAGCTTGTTTTTGAGAGACAGAATCCTGTCGGGGGATGCACTAGCGTAGCTAGTGGATAGAATGTCCCAGACAGCTTTAGCAGTGGTAGCAGATAATATCAATGGTTGGATAGCCTCAGAACAACTACCGAGAAGAGCACCGATAAGAATTTGATCTTGACGGTACCAGATAGAGTAGCATGGAATGGGAATTGTCATTTGCTCATCAGAAAAGAGAGCTGGGGCCTTCAGATCACCATTGATGTAATCAAGGAGGTCAAATCCAATAAGGGTAAACTCAACCCGACGATGCCAAATAGGGAAATTGGCTGAAGTATGTTTAATTGGGAAATTGATGGGTGCAGCGAGTTGCACAATTGTGGTGTCATGCTGGACAACCATTCTGGAAGAAAGGAAAAGCGTAAAGATGCAAGATCAGGTAGAGCTAATAATCTACGCAACTTTTGATACCATGTAAAGGGTTTGTATAAAATGTAATTGGTATTAGGTATTACAGGTGTTTAAATAGGTATATTTGAAGAAGTCTAGTCTAGCTATACAACTTAAGTATACAGATGAGATAATGATGAGTGATTACACTAGATAAATACATCTAAAGGAATGATTATCCCTTAAGATATTGATTAAATTAATTATCTCTAATAGGAGTAAATGAAAAAATTAATAGATAGATTATGATTGACTTATCATTTCCCGTATGGGAATTGACGTATCATATTGCTTCTGAGTGAACCATTAACTCTAACATATCATATCATCACAAATATGTTTTCTAATCTTATGGACTTGCCTCTAGTTTCTATTCTTGATATACTTCATCTGTTCCATTTTATTGCAACAATCAATATTTCACGTTTAACAACGCACAAGTTTGACCATTAATATCTTTCATTTTTTATCAGTAAAAAATTTTAAAAATTTGTATTTTAAAAATTTAGAATGAGAAAAATTTAACAATATTTTTAAAAAATATAATATATAATACATTAATTAATAAAATATAGTTAAAATAGAATATGTGAATAGTGTAAAAAATTCGATCCCAAAAATTGGATCGAAATCAAAACAAAGTTGAATTTGTCAACCTGACAGTAGTGCCCGTGGAATAATGTACACCACTCGCGACAATCGACTTTTCCAGAAACACGTTTAACCGACTACGCTTCATCTCAACCGCCTCTCAGCACCTATAAATACCCCAATCTTTCCGCGAAAGCATACCGTCTCATCTGTATCGCTTGATCCTCTTGTTCTCGTCCATCGGTTTGGCTGTGAATGTTTGATTGATTCCACCTGTTTTTCTGGCTCTCTTTTTGGCGTTTTGATCCATTGTTTCCCGAACCTTCTGGTTTCGCATTATTGATTTTATCGTCCCTCGACGTATTCATGTAGGTCGGCCCGCACCTTCGTTGATTTTTCATCATATGCGTGTTTGACGGATCGAATCGCTGGACGTAACAGACCGGTTTGATTTCTAATTTAATCCTCTTCGTTTTCCGTTCGCCCTGAGTCTGGATTTTTGAAGATGCGCCTTTATTATGATCGAGCGTTTTTAGGCAATTTTTGGTTTGATTTCTTTACTGGATGATGTAGCTCGAATCAGGGATTGGATTTCTTCCGAGGAAGTGCGAAGTCTTGGATTTGTGTGTACATGCCCTCACATGTGGTCGTTTTTTGTTTGAATTTTGATGCTTATTTTGATCTATTGCTATATCTATCTACTCTTGCGGTTTTGACTCAGTTCGGATCACGCGCTCGTTATTAGCTGAAATTACAGGATCAGTCCTGATCGAAGGAGATCATTAGGTTCGATATATGGTAACAAATTGAGCTACATGCCTAAATTATGCTATTTTTTTGCAATTTTGGGCTTGATTGTTACATGTTAGTGGTTGAGTTTCCCGGCGTTTTTGTTTTTCTTCTGACCTTGCTTGTTTGATCGTTTGATCTAAGCTTAGATCCGTTGGTTAAGCACTTCAACGAGATTCATCTGTTGATTTGGCGTTCGTAGCACCCAGAACAGATGCAGATATGTCCAGTTTTTTTGTCTTACAAAATAAAATGAAAACATTTGCAGTAATATATTGCATATTTCATATTCATGTCTTTGCGAATCAGTCACGGACTGAGGGCCCAAAACTTCAAGTCTTTAAGTTTTGGGCAAGTTATGTTCAATTTTATAATATAGATTAACCACATGAAAACTCACAGTTTTTTGAGTCAGTATACCATATTATCACGACATTTAAGTATTTAACAAACATTCGTTTTAACTTTTAAGTCGAACGTCCTCATTTTTATGATTTTGGGATTTTTAAAATTGTTATTTGATACTCCCTATGATGTTTAGCCCAACCTTACAAATTTTCTGCTCGTATTATGCACATTGTCCGATTTTTCAATATTTAACTTTTCATCTTTTTATTTGTAGACTTTTCCATTTATATATGGTACGCATATTATCCCAATTGTTTTTAACATTTTAATATCTTATTTATATTTGTATGACAGTGCCCTTGTTTTGGTTCCAGTTTATGTATTACTCGGCATTTAGTATTACGCTATAGTTGATGGCTGCCTCTCTGACAGTTTGGTTTTTATGCTCGTGATACGGTTTGGATCCTTCACTCAGTCTCAGATTTTAAATTTATGAGTACATGGTTGAACAATATGAGGGGATCCTGTGTCAGTCTCAGACATTTATCATATAATCCGTATATATTTAATGGCATCAATAATATGTAGGTGATTTTAATTGAAATTATATACTTTTTGTAGTTTTCTTGGCATCGAGAAGTCTTCTTTGCCAAGACACAAGCTGAATTCCGAGAACCACCCTAAGCTGATTGCTACTACGGTTTATTCTAAATTTACTACATTTATTAGCTGTTGTCAACCCTGTTCTTTTAGGTTGCTTGTATTTTGGAATTTTACCCATGGTAGAGACTTCAACTGGATTGATTAGTATTGTGCTTGGCTCTTTAGTACTTGATATCTGGCAAGTTATGTTCTCTTGATTAAGGCAAGTTATGTTCTCTTGATTAAGATGCAAACAAGTCTTCAAGCTTTCAAGGTTTTGGATTCATCAGGTTGAATGATACTGGTGTTTTTGTCGCATCTGAAGTTTGCTGCTTCCAACTTGTATCTTCATTGGCCTGAAAATGTATTAGGATTTCAATATTTGTTCTGAAGACCTCTGCTTTGATTAATGATTCCCTCTATGGATCACATATCTTCTTGAAGTTTTTATTTTAGATGGAGTATTTGTTTGCCCTGGTTTGAAAATATATCAGGGACTTGATCATATGTCTGACAAGAAACTACTGGATTTGTCTTGAACATCATCTCCCGGTTTGATTGACATATCCCCTATGTTTTTTCTCTTCTTGTGATACTTGGATCTACCTAGTTTGATTGCTCAAGGACTTTTCGTAATACATGGACTTGATCTCACGTCTATTTAAAAATTATTGGATTGTTTGGTTGGGTGCCATCATTTTGTTCACTAATGAGTTCCCGTATCCTTGGTTACCCTCCCTTTGTGTGTGTGGCTTGCATTTGTACACAGTTTAGATGAAGCTCAGCGATGTCGTGTTTACTGTTTGGGAATTGCTTCTATCTACCTTGTGTAGTTGCTGAAGATGAATCATGGTCATCTCTCTTGACAATTGATGTAGATCAGGCAGCATTTGATTTTCAGCTTAAGTTTGTCGAATTTGACGATGGGATCATACATCAACTATAACTTTTGGTCTTACTAGGTGATAATGATTACTTGATTACGGTTTGGCAGTTCATCTCATGGTAGTCTTATCTCTAAGTTCATTCTTTGTGTCGATGTTTTTAATGACGGATTATGCATGTCATGGAATATTCTAACCACTAGTCAACACCCCAAGCGGGTGTTAGAACCATCACATTCGGGTTTCTATATTCACTTTTTATTGGCTCTCAAGTTCATCGTTTATGTACTTTATGGCGTTTACTTCTTTGCCTACTAGGAGATGTGAACTTGACTGGTTAGTTTTTGTGTTTGGCTTTTTAGTACTTAGATCTTGAATGGTATATCCTCTTTTGATTAGATGCCAAAAAGTTCCATGTTGTTGTATAAGGTTGCCCATATTCCGGACAGCTCTCTGTGTTTAGCTTTCTTCCTTAGTTATCCTCCCACTGCATTTGTGTATGCCATAGAAGAAGTAAATATATGCAATCCACAATAGTGCAACCGACTCTGTATTAATATAGGTGTGCCTTTGTTAACTTTTATTGACATCGGAATTCAAGACTGCCAAACTCATGAGGAAGCTTTCGAAGGCATTTGTAGTTGTGTAACATTAGTTGTACTTGGGCCTTGCTATCTCCTCTCCCATTTCTCAGCTTCAGCCTTCAGGGTTACAAAACTATTCACTTCATGCTATTATGAGTTATGACTTCTCAGTTTTGGAAGCTTACAAGTTTGATTGATGAATCTTTAGTCTTCGCTATCTGGTTGATTGATGAATCTCTCTTTGGCTTGGTTATCTTCAAGATATCTTTTTCCAAGTTTTGCTTTGTATCTCACGGATGGATCTCAGGTTGAGAACATTGACAAATTGCTTGTGGACTGGCTATCTTTGTGAGTTTTGGTCGTTATTTCTAACTTGTGTATATCTGGGCTGGAAGACATATTATGGAGTTTGATTTCAGGTGCAAATAAAAATTATGTTTCTTTTTAAACATCTTAACCTGGTTATATTGATGGATTCCATATGCTTCTGTTATGTTCTTGAAATTTCAGAGCCTTGACCCCATAATATCTTAGTTTCCACTTTCCAACTACTGTTTGTGTCGTTGGCTTGAAGTTGTATGTTTTATTTGAACTCAATTGCAAAGAGTTCATCTTTTGTGGTTCCTCAGGATGGTCCAATCTTAGCTTAGCTCGTCAAACGAGACGAGGGGCTCCTACAAGAACGAGTTTTTTGATCTGATAGGGTGAACAAGATAGTTAGTACATCACTATATCCTGTGTCACTTTATCTCCAAGTAAATTATCAATAATATTTAAGATGATTTTTGACTGGGATACGTTTTTTGTAGTCCTTGTGGCTTCATTCTTTTTATGGGCATCTCCAAGTAAATTATCAATAATATCTAAGCTGATTTTTAACTGGGATACGTTTTTTGTAGTCCTTGTGGCTTCATTCTTTTTATGGGCAGATTTGCATGTTATGGAACATTCTAATCACTAGGCCAAGTTAAATCTGACGACCACCACATGCGGGTTCTACTAGTTTCACTTCTTATTGCCTCTCAGTCCATCATTTATATATATATTTATATATGCTTTTTTGAGACTAATTTGCGCTATGCTCAATTCTCTTTTTCTTGTAGGTTGCATAGTTCGGTTATTTTTCATTATTAGAAGCATGAACAGGGTTGGTTAATTCTCTTTGTATTTTTAGTACTTGAACATTGGGAAGTTATGTTGTCTTGATTCCATGCAAAGAAGTTCCATCTTGCTGTCTGAGCTCTCCTTTGGCGCTTTCTTTTTGCTTAGACTCCATCCCTGATTTAACATCCTTCAACACGTTTCTTATGCCATTAGGATAAGTAAGTCTGCAATCTGCATTCAAGAAACTAGCTTTGCGCTATTTATCTAAACAAAGGTGCGCCAGTTTTCACTTCCATTCAGATGAATCCAAACTTTAAGATGTTTTGACAGCGCATTTACCACTACTTGTACTCACTATATAGTGATCAGTTATTATTGCTCAACCTTAGGTGCATAGTTTCAAGTTTGGCTTTGCCATCTCCTCCTTCATGCTGTAATCTCAGACTTTCTGCTTGCCTGCTTTTGGTCTCATCTAGTTGATGTGATGTTTGGTTTATCCTATTCCTCTCTTACGGCAAGTGTTGCCAGTTCGTGTCTGCCTTGAATCTAAAATGTATCAGGGGTTTGATATCAGCTTGGAAGGGTTTGATCTCAGTTTGTGAAGACCATTGGTTCCACTCTCTTTGTGTTTGCTGTCTCATTTAGATTTTGGTTTTAGATCGAGTATTCAAGACATCTCTTCCCAACTTGTGTTTGCCTTGGCTTGAAAAATGTATCAGGGGTTGATCTCAGCATGAGAAGACTACTGGATTCGTCTCGAATTTCGCGAATGTCATCACCCTGTTGGATTGGCAAATTCCCATTGATCATAGGTCTGACAATAAATCACTGGATTTGTCTTGAACATCATCTCATGGTTTGATTTACATATTCCCTTTGTTTTTGCTCTTCTCGTGATACTTGGATTTACCTAGTTTGATTGCTCAAAGTCTTCATTTCCAAGTTGTGTCTGTCTGAGCTTTAAAAGGTATCTTAGAGTTGATCTCAATTGTAATGAAAAATATTATATTGTTCTCGTATGATGCCATCAAGTTGTTCATTGATGAGCTCATGTATATGAGGTTACCTTCCCTTTGTGAGTTTGCCTTGCAGTTGTACACATATTTGATCTCAATTGCGAAGAGTTGCCGGTGAAGAAATTTTGTTGGTTAAATTAAAAATTCAACGATGTCATGTTTACTGTTTGGGAATTGCTTCCATTTATTTTGTTTAGTTGCTGAAGAAGAATCATGGACATCTCTCTTGACATTTGATGTAGATCAGGCTGAATTGGATTTCCAGCTTCAGTGTGTCGAACTAGGCGATGGGATTTTAAAACTACTATAGCTTTGGTCTTACTAGGTGATAATGAATACTTATTTATGATTTGGGGGAGTTCATCCTATGACAGTCTTATCTCCAAGTTCATTATCAAAGCATCAATAATATTTTAGATGAACTGAGATGAAACTATTTATTTTTGTAGTCTTCTTGCTGTCAATGCTTTTAATGACAGATTATGCATGTCATGGCATATTCTAACCACTAGTCAAGACCCCAAGCGGGTGTTAGAACTATCACATGCGGGTCTGGTATATTCACTTTTTATTGGCTCTCAAGTTCATCTTTTATATGTACTTAAGCTGTTGCTGTTAGAACAATCACCTGCGGGTCTGTTATATTCCCTTTTTATTGGCTCTCAAGTTCATCTTTTATACTTGCACGTTTTACTTTATGCCGTCTTGGAGATGTGTTCCAGGAGGAATAGCCTCTCATCATATTGCAGCAGGAACACTGACATTTTAGCGGGGTTATTCCATCTTAGTGTCCGTCCGCTTCAACGGCTATACAAGTGTGGTTTCTTGTGTGGTTTCTCAGGGTGGTCCAGCTTTAGTTGGTCAAATAAGATGAGCGGCTTGTACATCAACAAGTTTTTTGATCCGATAGGGTGGACAAGTGGACAAGATAATAGAGAAAAGGGGCAAATAAGCCCTCGAACTATTTGAGGTGCCATTTGAGGCGGTTCTCAGTGGAATTTTTTGATGAAATTTGTTGAGCATCTTCTTCATTAAATCTACTTTATCCTTACCAAATTTCAGCTAGAATTTCAATTGTGAAGGCAGTCAAATAAAAGTTTGAAGATGACTGCGTAGTTAAACAGCGTAGTATATTTTAGAAATAATTTGACCGCCTTTGAAGATGACTGCGTAGTTAAACAGCGTAGTATATTTTAGAAATCATTTGACTGCCTTTCCGGTTGAAGAAAATGCTCAAAAATATTTTCTTGAGCCCAGGGGTGATTTGCACTTTTTCGGTTAGTTCGAGGGCTTATTTGCACCTTTTCCCTCAACAATATTTAAGACAATTTTTTATTGGGATATGTTTTTTCTAGTCCTTGTGGCTTCATTCTTTTTTATGTGCAGATTAGCATGTTATGGAACCTCCCAAGCACTAGGACTAGCTAAATCTGAGAACCACCACATGCGGGTTCTACTATATTCACTTCTTATTGCCTCTTAGCCCATCATTTATATATACGTATATATACCTTCCTGTCTTACAATAAGTGTTGCCAGTTTGTGTCTGCCTTGAATTGAAAATGTATCTGGGGTTTCATAACAGCTTGGAAGGGGTTTCATCTCAGTTTGGGAATATCACTGGTTCCACTCTCTTTGTGTTTGCTATCTCCTTTAGATTTTGGTTTTAGATTGAGTATTCAAGATATCTCTTCCGAACCTAGTGATGTCATGCTTACTGTTTGGGAATTGCTTTCATCTATTTTGTTTAGTTGCTGAAGATGAATCATGGATGTAGATCAGGCAGGATTGAATTTTCAGGTTTAGTTTGTCGAACAAGATAATGGGATGATAAAACAACTAAAGCTTTTTGTCCTACTAGGTGATAATGCTTTATACTTGATTACGATTTGGCAGTTCATCCTATGACAGTCTTATCTTCAAGTTCATTATCACAGCAGCAATAATATTTTTGATGAACTGAGATGAAACTATTTATTTTTTGTAGTCTTCTTGGTGTCAATGCTTTTAATGACAGATTCTGCATGTAATAACGAGACCTCAAGCGGGTGCTAGAACCATCTCACGTGGGTCTGTTATATTCACTTTTTATTTGCTCTCAAGTTCATCTTTTATATGTACTTGTGCTGTTTACTTCATGCCTTTGTGCTTGGCTTTTTAGTACTGACCTTGAATGTTAACTCCTCTTTTGTATATATGCCAAAAAGTTCCATCTTGTTGTATAAGGTTGCTCGTATTCCTTAGTTACCCTCCTATCGCATTTCTGTGTGCCATTTGGAGAAGTAAATTTGTGCAATAGACAATCATGAAACCGACACTGTATTAAGTAAGGTGTGCATTTATTCACTTACACACTGGAAATCGATGCACAAGGCTGCTTCACACTCCAAACTTGAGAGGAAGCTTTTGAAGGCGTTTGTAGTTGTATACCATTAGTTGTACTTGTTATTCCATTGTGATCAGTTATGAAGTTATGATTGCTCAAGTCAACGTACATAGTTTGAAGTGAGGCCTTATTTGTCTTCTCTCCCATGTCTCTTCTTCAGGGTTTCAAAATTATTCGCTTCATGCTATTATTATGTGCTATGACTTTTCAGTTTGGGAGGATCTCTAGTTCAACTGATGAAACCTCTTTTGTCTAGATGAATCTCTATCTGTTTTGGTTATATCTTATAGGAGAAGAAGAGTGTGCCGTTCCCAAATCCCAATTGTCTAATGCTCAAACCTATTAGGACATCACTATGTGCCGAATAGTGGAGACTGGAGAAGGAGAGATCGGCCGGTGGTCGCGATCCTCATCTGAAGTCGGTGGTCCTCATCTGAAGTCGGCGGTCCTCATCGCTAGGCTGGGAACAGTTAACTCGGCTTCTCAGCTTCTTGCTCTTGAGTCTTGAGGAGTATAGTTGCTAGCGAGTAGTGACCTCGCTAGGCTGAATTGGATTTCCAGCTTCAGTGTGTCGAACTAGGCGATGGGATTTTAAAACTACTATAGCTTTGGTCTTACTAGGTGATGATGAATACTTATTTACATTATACTACGTAATATAATTTAGTTCATACTCCGTAACATTTATTATAATTGAGTCATCAAAAGCGAACATAAATTATAATTACACTATACCGGTAAAATTTTCACAAGCTCGTCTAGACTAGTCCTTTTCTAGTTTCTGTCTAGAACTAGTCCTTTTCTAGTTTCTGGCACAGTGAAAATATTACTCAATGACAAGTCTAAAATTTGTATCGGTACATATAATATAATTGCACTATACTGGTACGATTTTCACAAGCTCGTCTAGAACTAGTCCTTTTCTAGTTTCTGGCAAATGTTATGTCTAGAACTAGTCCTTTTCTAGTTTCTGGCACAGTGAGAATATTACTCAGTGACAAGTCTAAAATTTGTATCGGTACATATAATATAATTGCACTATACTGGTACGATTTTCACAAGCTCGTCTAGAACTAGTCCTTTTCTAGTTTCTGGCAAACGTTATGTCTAGAACTAGTCCTTTTCTAGTTTCTGGCAGAGTGAGAATATTACTCAATGACAAGTCTAAAATTTGTATGGGAACATATAATATAATTGCACTATACTGGTACAATTTTCACAAGCTCGTCTAGAACTAGTCCTTTTCTAGTTTCTGGCACGGTGGTAATATTGTTCAGTGGATAAGCCCATTATCAACCGTACATATATTATAATGTAATACATAAGACTGATATAGTTTCATTGAAAGTTTATGTGTAATTTATAATTTCATTTAATAAAACACGTCATTATAATATACATACACACACATATATAACACTAATATATGATTCTTATTGTCAGTTGAGATACGAATGGCTGCACAAATACCACTTATGGACCCGATTGATCGATCTGTGCTGGTGATGCCACGTTACGCGCATCGAGCGGACCTTGTCTGGAATGATGCTACATCCATGGATGACAAGTTGAGGTGTAATGTATATTGTTCAATGGTGTACAAAGACGGCCCGCGTCACCCAGGAGTGGTAGCATTGCTGAAGGCCTTCGGCTTTTACGGCGTCGACTGCATCGGAAGGTTGCAGTTAGACTGGTCGCTTATTACGGCGTTGGTTGAGCGATGGAGACCAGAGACACACGCTTTTCATTTGCCTTTTGGTGAGGTGGGCATCACCTTACAGGACGTAGAAGTGTTGTTGGGGTTGCCCATCGACGGAGAACCACTGTCCGGACCTAGGACAAACTCGAAAGCACTTTGGATGCAAATGTGGACGGACTTCGCCGGTTTCACGCCAAACAACGACTTAAACACATCTGTAATACGAATGAATGCCCTACAGCGTTGGCCGGTACATCAGCACAGCACAAATGAGGAACTCATCACATACACGAGGGTGTTCATTTGGCAACTACTAGGTGGGTTATTGTTCCCCTCCACTACCGGGAACAAAATAAAATTGTACTTTTTAGAGTTGTTGCAGGGACCGCTCGGTGAAGCACGACGGTGGAGTTGGGGCTCAGCAGTATTGGGGTTCCTGTATTACAACATGTGCAAGGCCGCCAAAGCGAACAGGAGAAATATTGGGGGATGCTTGCTTCTATTGCAGATTTGGGCGTGGGAGAGATTGCCCATGGTGCGGCCGCGAAACGTTTTGCCATATGAGAATCTACAGGATATGCCCTATGGGTGCAGGTATAATTTGAAATTTTACATAATAAGTATTAGTTTATTAAATATATTTGTAGGTCATGGTATAATAACTTATTTTTATGAAGGTGGGCATGTCGGCACAATTGGGAACAAAGTTCTCGGTATACTCTACGTATTTATCGAGATCAGTTGGACGGGATCCGAGAGAACAAGGTTATAATTGACAATATCATTTTAGTTTAATAGAAAATAAATATGTTTTTGAATTAAATTCAAATAATATTGATTCAGTTCGTGTGGCGCCCATACGCATTACAAGCCCTCCCCAGGTTCTGCGTCGCGGGAGTAGATTTGTGGACATCTAATGTCATGCTTATATATTGTGACATTTCTGAGATGTACTACCCCGGTAGATTTTGTCGTCAATTCGGTGCAATGCAACATATTCCTCCCGCAACGGAATCACAAGCTAGCCACCATGCAAGTGGTGCAAAAAATTCTGGATGGCCATTGACACTATGGGCGGTGAGGCACAATCGTCGTATCGCATTTGAGTTCGTTGATCATCCCACCTACACTCCTGCGTACCGTGAATGGTACGCAAGTGTCGGGAAACGACGGATTTGCAATCCGTTACATGGTCGACCTACAACGGGTTATGTAACTACTAACAGGGAGACAAGTACACTAGTAAGTATTTTATGTGTAATTATTCAACTTAGAAATGTTTATTATTATTTAATAACTTTACTTTTGAATTTTAGATGCAATGTATGGGCTATATCTATCGGCGCATGACAGCTCCATTTGACGTCGAAGACATTCGCGAGCAAATTGCACGATGCCTTACATGATTAGGTGCCGAGAATGTGCTTCATCAAGACATCATTTTCTATGGGGATGCCCATGATGATGCAATGGATGATCATCCTCCACTTCGGCAAGACCGTAGAAGAGTCGCGGCCACTAGAGGTCGGCATTACGGACGCGGTTATGTTGCTCCACACGTCGACAATGATGATGGTGATGATGATAATCACGATGATGATAATGATGATGATGAGGAGGAGGAGGAAGAGGATGACGAAGATGGTGGTGAAGAAGAAGGACAACCATCTTCACATATTCATTCACACATCCCTTCCTCATCTCATGTACCTAATCAATACTCTACACCGATTAGTGCATACATTCCGACGTTTGATGCGACATCGTTTATTCCACATGTACAGCCTACATATGAGACACGTCCCACCTTTTTAAATTCACCAATTGATTGGTTGAACAACTTATTAGGATCAGATGTACAGAGTGGGATGGGGAAAGAAGCAGGGGCAAACACACAACCGCCAATTGAACATAGGCCGAGATGGGATATACATTCTCGACGCTGTGGGACAGGGAGTCACTTCGTGGTGCCAGGTCGACACTATGAATCTGATGAATCAGAATAGTTGTATGTAATTAGTTTTATCAATTATGAATTGAATTTGTAATTTTAAATTATCAATCGAATTTGATATTATGTTATTATTATCAGGTACTTTTACTATTACATTTCAATAATTCAATAATTCAATTGATAATTTTGAATTAAGTTATCAATTGAATTTGTAATTTGTAGTAATTTGTAGTAATTTGTAGTCCTAAGAAACCTAAGAAGTCTATTAAAAAAAATTCTTGGGTTCCTCATACTTGAAAAATAAAAGAATAAAATCTTCCCTATTTAAGAGTATATGAGTTCTATTTTGGGAATAAAGTAAATTTGCTCTTATTTGAGAAAAGTGCTACGAAGTTTTTTTTTAAAAAAAAGTGCTACGAAGTATTTTACTCCTGATTAGAAAACATTCTTATTATATATTTCTCATTTTAAAAAGCTTTTTGTCCCGATATTAATCTTTTTTTTTTAATTTAATGCATGCATACGTAATATCTGGTAATAATATTCCAGATATTGAATACTCTTTAATTTATAACTTTCTCCATATTAAATACATTTGTGCGGTGATAAAAATGAAATTTATTCGATGTTAAATTTTGGAAGAGTAAAATATAGTTTTTAAAGAAATGTATTCCTTATATAATATGTACATTTACAACAACTAAAATACATATTCCACTCATTTTAAATTAAATCAATCAACTTTTAATTTTTCTAACAGATTCCCTGTCACTTCGGGAATCAATAATTATACACAACATTCAATTTTTTTTCAACCACTTATTATTCGAAATAATTTCAACCACTTCTCCCAACCACTTGCACCCACCTAAACTCACTTCCAACTATCAATAATTTTGATCTAAAAAAAATATTCCGGGTACAAAAGTGTACAGATTCCACTCACTTTAAATTAAATCAATCAACTTTTAATTTTTCTGACAGATTCCCTGTCACTTCGGGAATCAATAATTCTACACAACATTCAATTTTTTTTCAACCACTTATTATTAGAAATAATTTCAACCACTTCTCCCAACCACTTGCACCCACCTAAACCCACTCCCAACTATCAATAATTTTGATCTAAAAAAAATATTCCGGGTACAAAAGTGTACAGATTCCACTCACTTTAAATTAAATCAATCAACTTTTAATTTTTCTGACAGATTCCCTGTCACTTCGGGAATCAATAATTCTACACAACATTCAATTTTTTTTCAACCACTTATTATTCGAAATAATTTCAACCACTTCTCCCAACCACTTGCACCCACCTAAACCCACTCCCAACTATCAATAATTTTGATCTAAAAAAACTATTCCGGGTACAAAAGTGTACAGATTCCACTCATTTTAAATTAAATCAATCAACATTAAATTTTTCTGACAGATTCCCTGTCACTTCGGGAATCAATAATTCTACACAACATTCAATTTTTTTTCAACCACTTATTATTCGAAATAATTTCAACCACTTCTCCCAACCACTTGCACCCACCTAAACCCACTCCCAACTATCAATAATTTTGATCTAAAAAAAATATTCCGGGTACAAAAGTGTACAGATTCCACTCACTTTAAATTAAATCAATCATAGCGAGTGTAATCGCTACAAAAGTGCATGTTGATCCGGACTACAGCATTAAACTCGTGATGCAAGACATATACTACAAATTCAGAATCAATGTCAAGTACAAAAAGGCGTGGTATGGACGTTTGATTGCCCTTGAACGAAGATTCGGGAACTGGGAGGCGGCCTACAATGATTTACCCAATTTGTTGCTTGCGATAAGAGAATCAAATCCGGGGTCAGTGGTAGATTTCCAACCAAAACCAACCAGTCATGATGGTACGTATGAATTTCATCGTGCGTTTTGGGCTTTTAAAGCTTCCATTGATGGGTTTGAACACTGTCTGCCCGTAATATCTGTTGACGGTACTCACTTGTACGGAAAGTTCAAGGGTCATCTCTTGGTTACAGTCGCCATGAATGCTAACCGTGAGATTTTCCCTCTCGCGTACGCAGTTGTGGAAAGTGAAAACACAAATAGTTGGTCCTGGTTTTTGGAACACATTATGACTTATGTTGTCAGACCAAATCGGCATGTGTGCATAATATCAGATCGACACCCTGGCATCCTAAGTGCCTATCAATCAGTACCTCAATTGAAAACCTACCAAGTTTCGAAGCGGTTCTGCCTCCGACACATTAGAAGCAATTTCATGACAAAATTCAGGAGTACTGAACTGAAAAAGCTCTGTTGGCAGGCCGGGAGTACACCCATGGTGAGTGAATTTTACCAAACAATGGCTCAAATTCGTGCTACGAATGAGAATGCGTTCACGTATTTGAACGCTATTCCACGTGAAAATTGGGCACTGTGCTTCGACGATGGACGACGTTACGGCATCCTCACAACAAATCTTTCCGAGAGCTTCAATAACGTTCTAAAGGGATGTCGAACACTTCCAATCACCGCGCTGGTTAAGGTAACTTATAACAAAGTTGTCCAACTATGCGGAAAGATATTCTTGAACGTTCACAGAAAAGACATCAGTGCACTATTGTCCCGCATAACCGAACAACGGGAATATACTCTGTTTTCATCCGTGATTATCCGCCGGTAACGGTAAATCTCTCACGTTGCGAATGTGATTGCGGTTTTTGGAAGCAAAATGGATTTCCATGTGTGCACGCCTATGCAACATGCCATTTCTTAGAAATAACTGTAGATCATCTCATCCCGGACGTGTATAAATTAGGTGCGTACATCCGTACGTATGCTACAGATATTATGCCTATGCATGACGTAAGTGCGATGCCTGATACCGGATATGTAGTGATACCGCCTCAAAGTGCTCGACGCAGTCAAACCGGTAGGCCTCAAAGAACACGATTTACAAATGAAATGGATATGCGTCCGAGTAGGAGAGCACAAGAGTAAAAATTTATATGTATTTTGTAACTCTTTTTCAATGAATAAAAATTTGTATTTCTTTGTCATGTTGTTGTTCAAGATAAATGAGTAATGAAATATTTATATTATTTAACTTTGCGGGAACATTACATAAATTCGTAATACAATATAATTAAATATGTATATTCACTATTACAATCTCTAACATAACAATTGATTATTTCTTATTTAATAAAATAATACACATCTTTCCAACTATAAATATCACTAAATTATTTATTTTTGTACATATTATGCTTCATATGCTCTATTATTTATCCCACTCACAAATTTTTATTGAAATATTTGTGTTTTCCTCTTTGAAGTATTTGAAAAAAAAAAGAAACTAAACAATCCCAAAAAACTTAAGAAATCTTTTACTAGTAATAGAAAACCTACTGAAGCAATACACTCCCCGTAAAAGAAACCTACTGAACCCACTCAACTTAATGATTTTGCTCAAAACGAAAATAAATAAACCCCCAATATCGGATTCAAGGAATCCGTTTTTCAGCTTTCCCTACCACCCCACAAAAACCATACATATTTCGGATTACACAACCACGTTTCCCGTTTTTTTAGAAAACCTAAAAAAACTCCCACATTTTGGCAATTGACGCATGACATTCCCGTAAAAAAAGAAATCACCCATCAAACTTTCTAGAATTTTCCTACTACGGAGGAGTAACTGGCTAGTTCCTTTTTTGTGAAGTTTAAATTTACTTAATTGATGTATCACTAATGATCATCTAATTTTCATTCATTTTTTTTAAAAAAAAATCTTTAGTTGTTTATTTTTAGCTTCAAGATTCCAAACATGTAAAATTAGGGATGTTACATTGTTTCACCGCCCAACACTCTACGGCATACAGTAATGCAGGCCTAATTGCTGTCCTATAAAATTTACCCTTCAGTCTAGTCGGCATACCTCGATCGTATAGAAATCGTGATGCACTCTTCCACTTCATCCACCCTGTTCTGATTCTATGTGATACATCTTCATCTAACTCATCGTCCTTCTGAATTATGGAGCCCAAGTAACGGAACATATCGTTGACTGGTATCTCTTCACCATCCAGAGTAATTCCGTTATTACTACTGCTTCTACCTCTACCAAACTTGCACTCCATGTACTCTGTCTTGCTCCGACTTAGTTTGAAACCCTTATTCTTCAATGTTTGTCGCCATACTTCCAACTTTGCTTTAAGACCTGATTGCGTCTCATCAATCAATACAATATCGTCGGCAAACATCATGCACCACGGTATATCATCTTGAATTGACTTCGTAAGTTCATCCATGACTATGGCAAATAAGAAAGAGCTCAAGGTCGATCCTTGGTGCACTCCGATAGTAATAGGGAACTCTTCAGTCCTCCCTACACTAGTACGAACACGTGTAGTACAATCCCCATACATATCCATGATGATGCTGATATACTTGCATGATATGCCTTTCCTAATTAAGGCCCACCAAAGAACTTCTCGAGGTACCCAATCATATGCCTTTTCTAAGTCAAAGAACATCAAATACAGATCCTTATGAGCGTCTCTATACTTCTCCATAAGTTGCCGAAGAAGGTGAATGGCCTCAGTTGTTGAGCGACCAGGCATAAAACTGAAGTCTTTGCTCAATCACTCGCTCCCAAAGTTTCATGGTGTGACTCTTAAGCTTAATCCCTCGATAGTTGGCACATTCTTGTACATCACCTTTATTCTTAAATAAGGGGATAAGAGTACTCTTCCTCCAACTCGTTGGCATCTTGTTGTTTCTCCTAAACTCGTTGGCATCTTGCTGTTTCTCCAAACTTATATTTACATAAATATAAATATGATTAATAATTACTATCATCAAGTGTCATGATAACTTAAGTTTAAAACTGGAACATAAGTTACTATCATCTCATTACTAAGTCACTACTCACATTTTTGTCTATAATTATTTTTAATAGAAATCATAGACACAATTATTTTTAATAGAAATCATAGACATTTTTTTGAACAACGAAAAAATGAAAAATAGAACTCTAAGAAAATTAGCGAAAGTGGTGATACGTTGTTTGATGGAGTATATTGCCCAGGGACCCCCGACCCATAGACTCCTGCCGCTCTAACCAAGGCCCGATAGGCCCGGGAAGCACAACAGGCCCAAATCACAGCGCCCCAAGTACCAAGCAGTCAACAAAGCACACTGGGGGTGCCTTCGGCCCCTTGGCCGAAGGCTCTAGATACTCACAAAAAGGC